TATTAAATATTTTCTGATTATTTTTGTAGTTCTGTGTTTCATCTTTTGTTCTCTTTTCTTGTACATTGATGACTTTCTTTAGTGATTCATTTGGGTTCCTTTTCCTTTATTTTTTTTGTGTATCTAGTATAGGTTTTTGGTTTGTGGTTACCATAAGATTCATATGTAACAAACCGTGTTTATAGTAATCTATTTTAAGTTGATGGTTACTTAAGTTTGATTACATTTTAAAAGCATTATATTTTTTACTCACCTCCACCCACGTTTACGTTTTTGACATCATATTTTATATCTTTATCCTTTGTATGTGTGTTCCTTAATTTATTACTGTATTTACACATGCTCTTACTACTTTTATCTTTTAATATTCATACTGTCTTGATAACAGGTTGATCTACTACATTTACTAAATATTTGCCTTTATCAGTGAGATTTTTCCTTTCCTATATGTTCTTATTTTTAGTTCTGGCCTTTTCTTTTTAACGTAAAAAAGTCTCTAACATTTCTTATAATGCTGATTTAGTGGTGATGAACATTTCAGCTTTTGCTGGTTTGGGAAATTATCTCTTCTTCAATTCTTAATGATAAACTTGCTGCATGAAGTATTCTTGGCTGTAGGTTTTTTCTCTTTTATCACATTGAATACATTGTGCTGTTCCCTTCTGGCCTAAAACGTTTCTGTTGAAAAATCAGCTTATAGTCTCTTTGGGGATCTCTTGTATATAACTAGCTGCTTTTCTCCTGCTGCTTTTAAGATTCTCTTTATCTTGACCTTTTAGCATTTTAATTATGATGTGTCTTGTTATGGGTCTCTGTGGGTTCATCTTGTTTGGGACTCTTGTTCTTGGACTCAGATGTCTGTTTGCCAAGTTGGGGAAGTTTTCAGCCATTATTTCTTCAAACAGATATTCTGTCTCTTTCTCTCTCTACTCCTTTTGGGGTCCCTATGATTTGACTATTGATATGCTTGATGTTGTCCCAGAGGTCCCTTAAACTATCTTCATTGTTTTAATTATTCTTTTTTTCCTTTTGCTGTTCCGATTGGGTGATTTCCTCTACCTTTTCTTTCAGCTCCCTGACTCATTCTTTTCCATCATCTAATCTGCTGATGATTCACTCTTGTGTATTTTTCATTTCAATTATTGTATTCAGTTCCGATTGTTATTTTTTGTATTTCCTATCTCTTTGTTGAAGTTCTCACTAAGTTCGTTTGCTCTCCTGAGTTTATTGAGCGTCCTTATAACTAGTGTTTTGAACTCTTTATCTTGTAAGTTGCTTGTCTCCAGTTCATTTAGTTCTTTTACTGGGGTTTTATCCTCTTCTTTTGTCGGAACATATTTCTGTGTCTCCTCATTTTGGCTGTCTCTCTGTGTTTGTTTCTGTGAATTAGGCAAAACAGCAACCTTTCCTGGTCTCCGAGGAGTAGCCTTGTGTAGGAGTTTCCCCTTTGTAGAGTGTGTGTGCTGGGTGCATTTGGCAGGCCAGCTGGACCCGAAATGGGCATAGGCTGGAGGGACACTACACCAGGGCCACCTAGGCAGGCCGGTTGGAGCTGGAGTGGGCTGTGGGGAGTAGCCACAGCTGCTCTAATGGGCTAGCAGTTGCTGTACCTGTAGCCGGCTGAGGTTGTTGGTAGTCCTGGGGTCAGGCTGCACTGGGGCCACCTTGGTAGGCTGAGCAAAGTTATAGTTGTGGTGGGTTCGGGCCGTGGGAAGGTCCAGGGACAAGCCACACTGGGGTTTCTTTGGCAGGCCAGTTGGAGGGGCCTCAGACCAAGGGGAATCCTGGGGCCATGTTGCACCAGGGCGTGCAGCTGTAGCTGAAGTGGTGTGATCTGCAAGAAATTCTAGGTATAACCCACACCAAGCCAGCAGTTGTAGCCAGGGCAGGTTCCAGATGCAAGGTGTCATGGGGGTCAGCCACTGTAGGGATGCCTTGGCAAACCAGCTGGAAGCTAGAGCAGGCTGTTGGGAGACCCAGGGGTATATTGCACTGGGGCCCAGGACTGTAGGTGGAGTGGACATGGGGTTGAGGGGAGTTTGGGGACAAGCCAGGCAGCTGTTGTGGGCCTAGAGTCTAGCACATACTCTGATAGCCTTGGCTGGCTGGCTAGAAAACCTGGATCATGTTCCTTCTGGTGAGATTAAGATGTAAGGGGAGTGCAACAAATGGCTCTGCCTGGTACCTCCAACAACAGAATAGAGTTCCCATAGCTCCCCTCCATTTGGCGAATGCTGTAGGGTTGGTGAATGGATTTCCTTTCCTTTTAGTCTAGGTGCCTGTTAAAACATTCTTTTTCTCCTGTGCCCCAGGACAAAAGAGTCAGTGATTCCTCCCTTCTGCAGGTCAGTGCGTTGGGGATGGGGTTCCGTGTCTGAGTCTTTCCCACCCTTTTCTATGTAGCCCCTCTCTCTCGCTTATTGTCCAGAAGCTGTTCAGTTGTCTTCAGTTCTTCAGAGGGAGTTGCTCTATCTGTAGGTATAAATTCAGTGTATTTATGGGAGGGTACATATGTTCAGTGTCCTATGTCACCATCTTGGGGGGAAGCCTCTAAATTGTGTCCAGTGTTTAAAGCATGATTTTGGGGAAGTAGTATTTAGAATTGTCTTACATTTTCATTATAAAGGAAATAGTTCCAGAATACATATTGCAGTATTGTATTTTGAAATACTTAAATTAAGTCAAATGTTTTATCAATACTATACATATCTTAGTATTTTTTATTCTATATAGTCAGATATGATATAAGATGAGGATGAATATTAATCTATTTGACTTTTTTCTAGAGATTTAAAAAATCCTGGCATTGCCCCTTAATAGATTTGTAGACTTGGGCATGCCTCCATTTTCTCCACTATATTAAGGTGTAATAGTATTATCTACCTTCTAGATTTTTAAATGAGTATTGAATGAGTTAAATATTAAATGAGTCAATATATGTAAAATACTGAGGATATTGCCTAGTACATAGATGCTATTGTAAGATTTAGATGTTATTACATTTCTAGAAAATGAAATAAGAAAAAAGAAATGGGGTCAAAATATTGGTAAGACAAAAAGTTGGTAGATAATATGTTTATCTACCTAGAGAATTAACTGTGAAAAGTTCTTAGACTCAATAAACATTAAACGGGGAGGGGATGATTGTAAAACATTTGCATAGATCATAAATTTTTCTAGTAATAACTAGGTAGTGTCCCCAGGAAAAACTTACATTTATAGGTATATAAGTACCTAAAAAATTTTTAAGTACAGTAGTCCCATGTTATCTGCAATTTCAACTTTCCATGGTTTCAATTACCCGTGGTCAACTGCAATTCAAAAATATTAGATGAGAAATTCCAGAAATAAGCAATTCATAACTTTTAAATTGCATACTGTTCTGAGTAGTGTGATGAAATCTCATGCTATCCTACCTGGGACATGAACCATCTCTTTGTTCAGTGTATCTACCCTGTATACACTACCTACCAATAAGTCACTTAGTAGCTATCTAAGTTATCAGATCAGCTGTTGTAATATCACAGTACTTATGTTCAGGTGACATTTACTTAGTAATGACCTCAAATGCAACAGTAGTAATGCCGGCAATTCATATATGCCAAAGAAAAGCTGTAAAGTGCTTCCTTTATATGAAAAAGTATGTATGTGTAGGAAGAAACACAGTTTGGTACTATCCACAGTTTGGTACTGTCCACACTTTCAGGCATCCATGGTGGGGTGGGTAGTCTTGGAACAGATAAGTGATGACTACTGTGATATTAGGGACTCATATGATGAAAACTTCTAAGTTATACATTAAAAATGTTTTAATTTATGGAGAGATAATATATTTTTGTGTTTTTCATAACATTTTGTAAGAATGCTATTTTCTCTTAAATTGTTATATAATTTGAACTTGATTCCCATTTGAATTTTATGTTCATCTAAAAATGTTAAAAAGCAAGAGATTCCTATAACATTTCGAGAACAAAGTATAATTAGGGAGTACTTGCCGTATCCAGTGTTGAAATATGTTATAAGCCTATGCTAATGAAAATAGTTTAGTACTGATGCAGCAAATTACAGACAAACCAGTGACACAAATGAAGATCCAGAAACCCATCCCAGTGTATATAAAAATGTGTAGTATGATAAAGGTAGCATTTTTCCAATCAATAGAGAAAAGTTAAATTATTTGTTAAGTGGTTTGAGAACAGTTGGTAGATATTTCGGCAGGAAAAGTTAGATTCTACATTACATCATATACCAAAATGAGTTCCAGGGAATTTGAGAACTTTAGTGTTAAAAAACTTTGTAAATACTAACAAAATATAAGATTAAAAGAAAAAACCTTTCTAATCATATACTAAAAGTGAAAACTATATAGTATAAGATTCATCAGTTGAGTTACATAAAAACTAAGAATTTTTGTACATTAAATATTTACATAAATAATATTAAAGGTAAATAATCAACGATAAATATTTGTGAAATGAGAGAGAGAATCTTTTAAATAAAGAAAGGATTAGGATTATGTTATGCAAAACAAATAAGAAGTAGGAACAGTATTATCCATTATTTTGGGTAAAAAAGACCTATGAATAGAAATCAGACTGGAAGATATGCTCCAAAAATGTTAATAGTAGTTATTTATTTAGATTATGATTTTTACCTTTTTTGCATTTCTGTATTTTGTAAATTTTCAACAAGGAATATAAATTTTATACTTAAAAATAGAATTTTAAGTAAATTGTATCTGCTGTATTTTGAAATATATTACTTGATGTCTAACTCTCTGAAAAGAGGAATAATAATTAGTTGTTATCTTTCTACAAGCCTTGAAACATTGGAATCCATTTTTAGGATAGTTAAAACTTAGAATTGTAGTTCATGGTCACAAAAGTAGGAGACAGATTCAAGAATTCATTCTCATGTTGTTTTTATTTCCTTTTACTGTTCTAAGGAGAATTATTAGACAGTAAATAGTACTTTCTTGGTTTATTTTGTTTTGGTTACAGACTAGAAGCAGCCAAAGATGATTATCGCATACGCTGTGAAGAGTTAGAAAAGGAAATCTCTGAACTTCGGCAACAGAATGATGAACTAACCACTTTGGCAGATGACGCTCAGTCTCTAAAAGATGAAATAGATGTTCTTAGGTAAACAATCTTACCATCTCTGTAGAATCTCAGACCCACCATCACCCAGAACAGTTCTACAACCAGTGTTACAAACTCTAGGTTCTCTGAGCATAGCAGGGTGTTTAAGAGCCAGATTACCTGGGTTTAGAGCTCAGTGCCACAATCTGTTTAACTTCCATGTAACCATTTTTTCATCCATAAAATGGAAATAATACACTTACCTCTACCTCAGATTTACATGTGGAATTAAGTGAGTTTATATTTGTAAACACTTGGAACAGTATCTGGCAAATTAGTGCTATGTAAATGTTTGTCAAATGGAAATTAATCTCTGCGTATCACTTCATGCTTATATAGCTCTGGAGCTTTTCTTATTACTACTCCTTTTCTTTAATTTTGAGTCCTCCAGTCACTTCGTCTTTCTTTTTCTCAGATACTGTCACATCCCACAAGGTTTCTTTCATTTTCTTGCTAAACCTTTTTATCTTCACCTCAGCTATTCTCACACTAGGCACCTCACTCCCCGCCACCTCATTTTTCCACCTTTCTACTTCTTGTATAATCTATCCTCTGTTGGATCATTTCAGCCATCTGTATTTTACATTTTTGCTCTTTGAGTACTGGGAACGAATAGAAAAAATCACATAGTGATTTAGTTTTGTTCTACTACAAATTCATGATCTTTACTTTTCACTGGGTTCTTATCACTGGTCCACCATTCTGCTGCTCATCAGTAGACAGCTCTGTCTCCCGTTTCTCTCATAGCTATTACATAGTATCATAACTCTTCTCACCTGCATGACCATTCCACCCCATCTCTCCCATCCCTTAATCTCAGTAGATGACATTGTCACCTGCTGCATAGAGGAAAGAGGCCATGACCTCTGGAACTCTTCATGTCCTCTAACTCCTTCACCTCCTAACTCCCCTGCATTCCCACTCATCTTTTCTTTCTTGCTTCTAGAGTGTAGACTTGTTATCCTAACTCCTGTCCAGTGCTAATTTCTTCTTCAGTGCTCTAGGTCTCAACACTTCTTGATTACACAGGGACTGTGTTACATCAGTTATCATTTCTCTTCATATTTGATTGACCTCCTTGACGTATATTTATGTTTACATCTCTTATCTTAGAAAAAGAGAGAGACTTATTACTTTCTCCTTTCCTCTAGACCAAATTTAGATTATACATGGTAAAATTTATGTTTTCTCCTTAAGTCCCTAAAATGTCCCTGTCCTCTTTGTTCCATTGAAACAGCTTTTCCTATGGGCACTAATAACATTCTAATTGCCAAATTATTTGGATACCACACAATTTATTTTGCTTTTGTACTACATATGACTCTGCTGGCTACACCCCTCCCCCACTTGCTTTCCTTAAACTGTAGAACATTCTCCATTACAATTTTTGCTGTAATTTGGTCATGTTTTTTAACCTAAGCAAAAAATTAACCTAGAATCACCTAGATGTGTTATTTCTTAGAACTCCCTCTTGGTTTAGTACTAAAACAACTTTATAACTATGAATGTATTTCTAATTTCCCATCTCATTCTAGACATTCTTCCGATAAAGTGTCTAAACTAGAAGGCCAAGTGGAATCATATAAAAAGAAGCTAGAAGATCTTGGTGATTTGAGGCGGCAGGTTAAACTCTTAGAAGAGAAGAATACTATGTATATGCAGAACACTGTCAGTCTAGAGGAAGAGTTAAGAAAAGCCAATGCAGCTCGCAGTCAACTTGAGACATATAAGAGACAGGTAAAAGAATAGTAACAAAGTTTCCTACTGATGTTTTCAAGCAGGTTCTCCATTATAACACCTTGGCTTATCAAAATCTACTGACTTTTGTTTTCATTGTATTCTGATTTTTACCTCTGAAACTTCATTCTTACCCATCGCTCATTGTTCTTTATAGCAGATCCTTTAATTTCTTTTTATATTTTATATTTATTATGCAATACTTAAATACATAAAAAGTAAAAGAATAGTACAATAAGTATCCATGCTTAATAAATAAAACGTATTCTTTCTCTCCTTATTGTAGTAACCATTATGTTGTTTCGTGGTTTTCATTTCAATACATCTCTATTCTTTTGCTATATATATATATGTATGTGTTTATTCATATATGTGTATATGAAATTTATAATATTTTGATGTTTTAAAGCTGTATAAATGATAAAGTGAAAGGACTCTGCTGCAGTTTACTTTTGTTTGGTAGTATATTTATGAAATTTGTTTATTTGATAGGTATAGCTTTATTCTATTAGTTTATATTGCTGTATGTCTGTCCCGTTGAGTACCTATACTACAATTTGTCCACTTTCCTGTTGAACGATGGATAAGATGTTTCAACTTTTTTTATATTAAAAGATATGGCACTATGAATAGTACTAAACATTACCTCTTTCGTACATGTGTGAAAGTTTTACAACTATATAGAATTTCTTCCATAGAGTATGTTCATTTAATTAGTTATTGACCAGTTATTCTCTAAAGTAATTGTATTACCAACAAGACGTTTGCGTAAATTTCTGTTGCTCCACATCATCACCAACACACAGTACTTTCAAATTTGAAATTTTGCCGACTGGATGGGTATGAAAAGGTGTCTCCTTATGTTTATACTTTGCATTATCCTCATTACAGTATATACTGATCACATTTCTCTTGTAAATTGCCAATTTTTATCTTATTTATTTTAAAAATTGGATTATTTTTATTAATTTCTGAAAGTTATATGTTCTTGATATTAATCTTTTGTCACTTACACATGTTGCATTTATTTCCTACCAGTCTGTGACCCTCCTTTTACTTTTTTTGAGATCGATAATTTTAATATAATGAACTTTAAATATCTTTTTCTTTGATTTGTGCTTATGTCTTCTTTAAGAAATCATTTCCTGCATAAGCATGTTAGACTAATCTTTGTTTTCTTAACAAAGATTTAAAGTTTGTTTCGCACATTTTGATCTTTAAACTACATGAAATTGGTTTTTGTGTAGGGTGCAAGGACAATCGGTCAGCCTGGCAGCATTTATTTAATAGTATCTTCCACAATGGCTGGCGATTCTTCCTTATATATCTAAAGCTTCCATATTACATGTGGGTTTGTTTCTGGGCACTCTCTTCTTTTTCATTGGTCTGTTTGTCTATTCTTACACCAATACCCACCATCTTTCTATTCATAGATTTTTAGTCATGCAGACACTCACACCTTGTTCTTTTTCAAAATTGTCTATTCTTAGATCTTTTCTTTCTCTTCAGACTCCAAACCTTTGAAAATTGGAATTACATTGAATCTATTGACTATTTTGAGGATAATTGAAATCTTTATGACATTAATGTTCCTTTCAGTGAATATAATATTTTTTTATTTATGTAGGTCTTCAATATCATTTCGTTAGGTTTTATAATTTTTTTCTAAATATGCACATATTGTTTGATTTTCTCTCGGTATTTCAGGCATTTGGTTTTTGTAAATGCAATTAGCAAAAGAAAGAATACCATTTTCAGTTTATTGCTCATTTATATGATTGAAATTGATTTTTTTTACATCGATTTTGCAACTTTGCCAAATCGTCATATTACTTCTGATAATGTCTGTTGGGTCTCTTGCAGAAGTGATTTATTATACAAATAAAAGCAGTTTTGTTTCCCTCTTCTTAATCAGCATGTCCGACCTTTAATACAACTGTGGATAGAAGCAATAATAGTAGGCAACCATTTCTTGTTGATTTTATACAGAATGCTTTAAATGTTTTACCAACATATGAATTGCTATAGTTTTTTGTAGCCACCTTTTACTAGGATAAAGAAATTCCATTATATTTAAAATTTGTTCAGGTTGTCCATCTTAAATCGATGTCGAATTTAAGCAACTATATTTCCTGCTCTTATAGAAAGACTCCTATGCTGCTTCCCCTTTCTATTAACATGATGAATTATATTTCCTGTGCTTAACCCATCCTTGCATTCCTGAGATAAACTTAGTTTGGTCACAGTGGATTTACTTATTGTTTTCACATTGTTGGATTTGCTTTGTTCATTCTACTTAGAATATTTTGCCTCTATGATTCACTTGAAGTTTTCTATTTCATACTTTCCTTATGTGATTATTGTATCAGAATTATACTAGCTTAATAAAATGAGTTGGAGAAGTTTTAGTGTAACAGCCCTGTATACCATGAATAGTTGACAGGTTTTTTTGGTGGATACATTTTTTTCTCAACATTTTATTATGTAATTTTCAATATACAACAAAGTTGAAAGAATTAGTGAACTTGAATATGAACTGAGAAATTACCCAAAATAAATGTAGATGAAAGAAACTATAAATGAGATTTAAAAGTATTAAATTAAAATGGGAAATGATCTAATTAGAGTCCAGAGGAGAGAACAGAAAGAATTGTAGGAAGACATTATTTGAAGGAAAGGTTGGCTGAACATTTTTCAGAACTAATAAAGAACATCAGATTTAGTATTAAAAATAAATTACATACAAAGTAAATAAAAAGAAACATACACCTAGGAATATTGTAGTGAAATTGCATAATACACTAATTCTGTTTCTGATCTGGGCCTTAATAATACTTTTCTCTTTCAATGATAATATTTTCTTTCTTAACGTTCCCTTTGGGTGTACTTTCAGACCTGCCTGATCATTTTTGATGGTCTCTTATTCTTTTCATAGAAATAGATTTCTTCTTTATTTTAAGTATTAAACTTAAAAACTAGTATTTTATATCTGATAATTCCAATCTGAAATCTTTGGAGGTCTTATTCTATTTTGTTAATGCTGTTAATGTGTTTCTGCTGACTGCTCTTTCATTTGGCTTCTCTTTATCTTTGGGAATACTGGGGGCGGGCGGGGGGAGTTGAGGTGGTATTCTTCCACATAGTGTGTGTTTTTTCCTTATGCCAGATTTTCCACAGCATTACCAACAAGGACTATTTTTAATCAATTGCTTGGCTTAGGATTTGCCAGACAAGGCATGTGGTAAAATTTAAAACTCAAATCCATGTATTAGCAGGTCATAGTTAGAAGCCTCAAGTTATACTTTTTAAAATCTAGAGCACTCATTTTAAGACAGGCAAGTTCCCTTATTGATTTTCCCAGCTGATGGATTTCTTTTTCCCAACCCACTTATTTACTGACTCATCACATTTTAGAGCCTGAGGTAGTTTAACAACCAAATTTCTGGGTTCCTGGCTTTGACAATTTCTACTTCATGGCCTCCATACGTACTCCCCACTCCAGTTTTAGCCCGTGAGGATTTCACTTTCTTGTAAACTTACCTATGCAACTGGATTCTCCCCTTGCCCCAGCATTTCTTATGCTTTATGCTAAAAGGATATTAGACTACCTAGTTATTTGTATTACAGGAAATGGAAGTCTTATATGGTCTTTCATAATTTTGAACATCGTTACTCTGGATGATCTAGGTTTAGAACCCATAGTGGCAGATTTTTGTTCCTAGTTAGTGCTCTGCATTCAGTTATGCTGCTGTATCATGGACATTTAAAAAAATATATTTGTGAGGAAGGGAGTTTTCATAGATCTGTAGAAGAGAATAGTGATAATTTCTAATGTTCCAAATTATAAAAATTAATGGTACCTTTCTATATTAGGTAGTAGAACTGCAAAATAGATTATCTGAAGAAGCGAAGAAAGCAGATAAATTAGATTTTGAATATAAGCGGCTAAAAGAAAAAGTTGACAGTCTTCAAAAAGAAAAGGATGTGAGTATATATATATAGTAGACATTTGGTTTTGAGCACTGCTAAAATTAAGACACTGATATTTAATTCATGCTTTGACTACATTAATTTCTTCTATTTATATATTTAAAAATTAGAGATCCTGTTTATTTTTGAATTTAAATTTAAAATTTACATTTGTGTTTTGGAAAAATCAAAAACAAAAGATTAAAAGAATGTTTTTATTTCCATTCTAATTTCTTCTATATATATTTACTTTTCTCCCACTGTTGCTTCTTTTACATTGTTCTGCTCATGACTTTCTATAAATTTGTGTAGCTTTTCTGCTTTCTGTATGATTATTATAAAAGACACAGTTCTTTTTGTTGTTCAGCATTTTTGAATCTTACAAAAATATTTTCTTTGTCATGATTTTGAATATTTAAATTCTTTGATTTTTCTGTGTTTAATGAAAAGAAAGTTATTTACAGAATAAGATACTGTTAAGGATAGAATAGTTTCTTATGTCTGACTGTGGATAGCATATTGCCTTGTGCATAGTAGATATTTAATATTGTTAAATGGGAAAAATCGTTATCTTTTTCCTTCTATGATCATCTCATAGATCAAAACATGTCCATGTTTTCTACTGTTTAACATTTTATTACATAAAGCAAAGACCACTGATGAATAAACTCATAAAACCTGCAGCTAACTTTTCTTGTTTTTAATGTCCTTACAGAGGTTAAGAACAGAAAGGGATTCTCTGAAGGAAACCATTGAAGAGCTTCGCTGTGTACAGGCTCAAGAAGGGCAGCTCACAACTCAAGGTACAAACATTTCAGTAGCCCAAGCAAGAGTATTCATTTCCAAAAGTATCAGTAAAACCATTAGATTCATTTCAAGATGATTGCACCAGTACATGAAAATGAAAAATTAGTGAAGAGGCCATGAGGTTGATATAAATTTTAAACTGTTACCCAGATTTTACAGCAAACAGTCTGTAGTTATGGAACCTAAAAAATGTACTTGCCTAATTTATATTTTAATTATATTTAAATATTTGGTTGTATTAGGTCAAAAGCATAAGTATTTATTAAATCATCTCTTAATAATAAACCTGGAAAGTTTTATTCTGGAAAGTTTCTCATAACTTCTTTAAAAATATATCAAACTTTCTAAATTTGTGATTTTTTTTTTCCAGCTGAGATATGTGGTAGGTAACAATCCTTTAAGGAACTTTTATCCAAAGTAAAAAAGTACTCTTCTCATAGGAAAGGATATCTTGTGTTTATTTAAGACAGTATTGTTAAGATGGCAGTACTACAGTAAGCAGTCTACAGATTCAGTGCAATCCTTATTAAAATACCAATAACATATTTTGAGAAATAGAAAAACCCATCTTAAAATTCAGATGAAATCTCAAGAACCACAAATAGCCAAAACAATCTTGAAAAAAGGAAAAGAAAAAAGTTGGAGGACTCACACTTCCTGATTTCAAAATTTAACATATGGTACTCAAAACAGTATGCTATTGGCATAACAGGCATAAGACCAATGGAATAGAAAGGGATATGACCACAATGGAATATGTGGTCAGTTGATTTTCAGCAAGAGGATCAAGACCATTTAGTGGGTGAAAGGAAAATGTTTTCAACAAATTGTGCTGGGAAAGCTGGATATCTACATCCAAAAGAATGAAATTGGTCCCTTATACCATATACAAAAATGAACTCAAAATGGGTCAAATGTGAGGGATGAAACTATAAAACTTTTAGAAGAAAACAGAGGAAAATCCTCATGACATTGGATTTGGCAGTGATTCCTTAGAATTGTTACCAAAAGCATAGGCACCAAAAGAAAAAAATAGATAAATTGGACTTCATCAAAATTAAAAACTTCTGTGCATCAAAGGACACTGTGAACAGAGTGACAAGCCACAAAATGAAAGAAAATGTTTGCAAATCATGTATCAACTAAATGATTGATATCCTAAATATATAAAGAACTTCTACAACTCAGCAACAAAAAAAAGCTAAGTTCACAAATAGGCATAAATCTTGAATAGACATTTCTCCAAAGATATACAAATGATCAGTAAGCATATGAAAAGATGCTCAACATCAATAGTCATTAGAGAAATGCAGATCGAAACCGCAATGAGATACTACTACTTCATACCCATTAGGATGGCTTTTACCAAAAAAGAAAAAAGAAAAAGGTAAATAGCAAGTGTTGGTGAGGATGTGGAGAAATTGGCACCCTCATGCATTGCTGATGGAAATGTAAAATGGGGCAGCCACTGTGGAAGAATTTGGTGGTTTCTTAAAAAGTTAAACATGAAATTACTATACAACTCGGCAATTCCTTTCTTAAAAATATGTACCCAAAAGAATTCAAAGCAAGGACTCAACCAGATACCAATGTTCATAGTAGCATTATTTATAGTAGCCAAAATGTAGAAACAACCTGAATATCTGTCGACAGATGAATGGTTAAAGAAAATATGGTGTATACATACAATGAAATATTTTTTTAGCCATAAAAAGGAATGAAGTTCTGATAAATGCTGCATGGATGAATTTTCAAAACATTGTGTTAAGTGACATAAGCAGAAACAAAAGGACGAATACTGGTATGATTCTACTTGTATGAGATATCTAGAGCTGCCAACTTCATTAAGACATAAAGTTTACAAGGGGTTAAGGTAGAAAGAAATGGGGAGTTATTGCTTAATGGTTACAGAATTTATGTTTTTGGTGATGAGGTTTAGAAATAGATGAAGGGATTGTTCTACAACATAGTGAAGTATTAACTGCCACTCAATTATACACTTAAAAATAGTTAAAATGAATAATAATAATAATAATAATGTAAAGCAATTGTGAAATGGTTTTTTACTTCAGTGGTCTCCAACCTTTTTGGCATCAGGGACTGGTGCTCCTATGAGAATCTAATGCTTGATGATCTGAGGTGGAGCTGAGGCAATGATGCTAGCACTGGGGAGCAGCTGCAAATACAATGATGCTTCACTCGCTGGCCTGCCACTTACCTCCTGCTGCGTGGCCCAGTTCTTAACAGGCCGTGGGTCGGTACTGGTCCACAGCCCAGGGGTTGGAGACCCTTGTTTAACTTAACTAAAACAAAGATTTTAGCTGTTAAAATTAATGCTCAAAGTAGAATTTAATATAGAAATTAAAGGAAATAGTCATGTTCTCTCTTAACCTCACATTCATTTTCATATATTTATAGGGTTAATGCCTCTGGGAAGTCAGGAATCTTCAGATAGTCTGGCAGCAGAGATTGTTACACCTGAAATCAGGTAAGGAGATCATAAAGTGCACAGTGACACTGCACTATATTCCTGGAGAAAATACTCCTCTACAATATAAAGAGGATCATTTCCTTATTCTTTATTACTAACACTTTCAACATGAACTCAATATTAAATGTCCATGATTTCAGAAAGTTGGAAGTGTTTTCCACCTGGCCCAAGAGACTCAGTCTCATTTTAATAGGACAGTGTTTCACACATACACAGCAACTGTGTATATGTGTATATCTGTGCTTGGGTATTCTTAGCAGACATTTAGCAGTAATACCACTTGGCACAAAGACAAAGGTTATATTTAGCCATCAGCATGCAAAATAATTAGTCACTAAGATTTATCTATTAATTACGTAGAATGGTATGAGAAAGATACAATACAGTAGATAAGAGGAAATATCTCCCCATCTTTACTACTCTTTCCTCAATAGTATGTTATATTTTTATTTAGTCGTAGCATTTAAAAAATTCCAATTATTTCACTGTATACCCGGCTTTATATATAAGAATAAAAACTTGTCAAGGAGGTAACAAGTGTCCAACAGAGGGAAAATAACCTGAATATTGCTCTTTATGTTCTTTGGGCCTCTTTATCCCTTTTCTAAATTGACATCTTGATTCTTTATGAAATCCTTGGGGGTATTAAATATGATGGTTGTGTAAGAGTTTTATAAACTATGAAACTTACAATAAGCATTTAAATACTTGTTGAATAAATGAAGACAACATTGATTGTTGTTGCCATGTATTTGAGAAGAACAAAAAAAAGGAGTATAATGTAACACCAACTCTGGAAGCACTTTGTGTACCTTTTACTTTTTGGCCATCTAATACCTTATATTGGACCAATAAATTTGTTGAATGAGTGAACACGCATTATTTATGAATATTCATAAATAAATGGTTATATTAAAAAAAAACTAAGGAAGCTTGTAGGTAAAACAGTCAGATTTTTAAATTGAGGAAGAGAACAATGATAAAAAGATTTAACAAATAAAATGGCTTTTTCGAATATGACTCAATACAAATTAAAATATGCTCTGTGTTCAGAAGAGATATCAAGATAATGAAATGGTAAAAGGGATGAAAATTTGCAGCACGTTATAGACAATGGGCAAAAATTATTTAAGCTATAATGTTTTTCTGATGTTAAGGGAATGAAGAAATTGAAAACCTCATAAACTAGGAGTAAAAAGTAAAATGGTACAACTTAAAATTAATTAATTTTTTAGTAGTTGAGATATAATTGACATTAATTGTATTAGTTTTAGATATGCAACATAATGATGTGATACACATATATATTGTGAAATTAATACTAAGGAAATAACCAAGGTATATTTATAAAATTGATCATTAGTAACATGTTAAAGCTCAAAATTGGTGATCTGAATGTCCAATAATTGGATATTGAGTCAATATATAATGATTCATCTATGTATTTTAATGTCATTTAAAATATTAAAGTATAATAATGATATGAAAAGATCGTGAAAATTTAAGTGTAAATAGCAGATATCAATGTAACATGTACTGTGTGATTCACTTTGTAAAAGTGTTTGCACAGGTGTATACATGCACAGAATTAGAAGGCTCTATTTCATTAGTAATTATTTTGTACCATAGGGTTATGGAGGGTTTCTATTTTCTTCTCATTTAACCTTTTCCTCCCTACAATGAGCATGTTTTACTTCGTAAATGAAAAATGTTAGTCATCGTTGTTTATATACAAAATATATCCAATTCTATATAATTACTTGAGTTGGGCCACAAATTTCGACTTTCATTTTTCAACGACAAAAGTAAAAGTACTTTATAAGACTCATGGTGTTTACAAAATAAGAGCAGACTGTTTTGTGTGTGTGTTTATTTTGTTTTTGTTTTTTCTTTTTCCATAAGAAGCACAACTTTTCATAGTATCTGGTATGAATATCTTCCTAAGGCCCTCTAAAGATGATCCTATGTAAAGAATCAATTATATTTGCAACAAGTTGATCTTCAATTATATCTTAAGATGAATTAATATTCCATTATATCATCCCTGTAGTAAATGGAGTGGCAAGTTTTATGTGGCTGTTGCTTTTAACATCACTCAATGTAAGCTTTTGGCATAACCCAAGGAGCCCAAAACAATGTAGTCCAATAACTTAGCTCTGATAACCTGACTTGTTACAAAAATAAAATTTTACATACCTATAGGAATGGATGGACAGCATATCTTGAAGGCATTCTTCACTGAATATTATAGCTTGCCACCAAGCGATTAGTAATTTAAGAGCATAACATTAGAGATCATTTTTTGATGAGAACTAAAGAACAAATATATAAATGCATTCATAGCTTAAGTATTTAAATAAGAAAGGAAATAGGATTTTGGAATCTCTTTCATTACAAATCATGATATTTAGAGAGTTTGTTATTTTCAGATTATTCATTCTAAAAAGAAAATACTTAAAGACAAATGTAATGCCCTAGCCAGTTACATTCTTTGTGGGTACTTTTTTATTCCTGTTCTATATATTAAATCTGAAAATATGTATTTTGGATTTTGATAACTATTGTATTAATGTACCAGATAATCAGTTTTTCTTTTGCTCATTTAGGGAGAAACTTATTCGTCTTCAGCATGAGAATAAGATGTTAAAACTTAACCAAGAGGGTTCAGACAATGAAAAAATTGCCCTATTGCAGAGCCTTCTGGATGATGCAAATCTACGCAAGAATGAACTGGAGACAGAGAATAGGTAGGAGTGTATGGAGGCAGCTTCATTTAGCTGCAGGTTTTCTCTGTTTGCCTTGATTTTGATTCCTTAAAGGTGTGAATTGTTTTAAAAAGTAATAATATGTTATTCCATTTCCTTTTAAGAGTCCTTTAATCCATTTCTCTCCATTTATGGACAGACTTGCCAAAGAGTATTGTGCCTCTTTGTAATAATATTCCCTTGTTTATTTCTTTAAGCAAAATGATGCCAAAGCCCTACCATTTTTTCTTTCTAATCATTAATTAAAACTAGAGGAATAAAAAAAATGACCATAATTCAGTCTCTCACTACAATTTAATTCATGATTATTCTCAAATTTAATAAAGTTTATCCTGTTTTTATAAACTAATGTTTCAAAGGATCGATGGGTATGAAGAAAATAGGACCCATCATCATTGAATTAACAGAACTTTTTTTTAAAAAAACTTATTATTTCTTGAGACCCTAAAAGGAAATCATTCATCCTATGAATAATTCAATTATTTTGAGAATTTAGAATCTGCAAATTTAACAAGAAAATCACTTTCTGTTTATAAGTTTTCAGTGTTTCGCATTATGCAGTCATTCAAATCTACTTTAAAAGCAGTAGCTTACTCCAGCAAGGGTTACTTTTATGTTTTGTTGTGACAATCTTTTGGTTCTTTTCCTCTTTGGACATGTTTTTTAGATACTAAACATGGTGTCTTTTCTTTTTCTTAGTGCTGTGATATTCTGTCATTTTGAGAGATTTGACATTTTAATTAATAGTTTCATAATTTGCCTGATATTTTAGATTCTTTGTTTATTACTCCTGATTGATTTGGCATTTCCAAATCAATGTGAGAATGTGTGAGTCAATCTTGTGAGTCAAAATTGTTATGACAATTTTATGTACCCCACCCTTCTTCCTGTAGCTCTAATTTTTAAAGCTACTGAGATAGAATCAGTATAAACACCAGGGTGATGGGTTAGAACATAATTTAGCATAAACCTAAGGAGAAAATTTGTATGTCAATTTTTAAGAGCATAGAGAATGAATATTTTAAAAAATTCGTAGAAAAAAGTGGAAAATGAGAAGGGAGAGTGAGAGGAATTGTAGAAAACAGCTGGCAGTCATGCAGTCCTCATGGTGAGAGTATCTTTTGTTCATCTTCCTTATCCTTTACCTCCTGGCTATATTTTAGTCATCTTAGCCAGGAAACCCTTCTCTCTACCCTAATTTTCTTTAGTGAATCAGTACCCACAACATTTTTTTGTAATGCTTTGCATTGTTTCTCACAGGCTTTACAGCTATTTCTCTTTTGTCATAGAAACAGAACAGCTAATTGTTATTTATAAGTACTCGTGTGTAGATGACTCATTACTTCTCAAGTCTCTATGTTATTTACAGCTGTTTACAACTTAGTATTGTGTTTGTGTCTTAAATTACAACACAGATGATAACTTACCTTTAGATTGTAGCTATCTGTGATCTGTAACAATAATTATAGTAGCTAAAATTTATTAAGCTCCTGTCTGTTCCAAACATCATACTAAGTATTTAAAATGTGTTGTCTTACTTTATTAAAGTTTTACAAATGAAGGGAATTTGGGCTCAGACCCAGGCTACCTGCCTCCAAAGCCTCTACCTAACCCATATCCCCTTGCTTGCCAATTTATCTTCTGCCATGTTTGTAAAACATTTATTTTTACCTGTCTTCTTCTCACAGGATGCTCTTCTCTTAAGTGAATTACCCTAAATTTGTTCTGAGTTTTTTCAGTATTTACATTACCTTTTCTCTAACTTAATCTCTTAACAGTTTACAGCCCTGGCCTAGAACCAGGAAACCTCAGTTTTAGTCCCGCTGAGTCTTTTAATGGTGCGACCTTAAATACAATTCACTCACCACCCATATATTATATGTTAGAAGGAAGGGTTTGTAGTAAATATCCAGAGTCCTTTCCAATTAGTTTTCCCAATAAGTTAGCATTTTTTAATCTGTAATATATGCTGACCCTCAAACAATAGTAGGAGAGGCATTAAGCATTGAGAGTAGAGCCATGTCAGAATTGCTCAGGGAGCTTTCTCAAAGCATATGTGATTCTTTTGCCTTATCTCTCAGAGTACATGTTGATCTCATGCTTGCCTTCTCTCTACACCCCCTTGACAGTATATGTAATTAGACTTGATTCAAGTGTTAACTAACTGAACTCCTGAAGGAGGAGAAAGAAGGTAGAGACATTTATAGAGTACCTGTTATATGCAGGCATGTGCTAGACACACTTTGTATTGTATCTCACTTAATCTTCTGAACAACTCCTTGAGGTAAGCATTATAATCCTAATTTATTTTGTAGATGAACTTTTTTTCATATATATTTACATATATTAGTATAACTTCATACTTTGTGTGTGAGTATGTACGTGCGCATGCTTCATACTTCGTACAGTTGTATTATTACTATATTTGCTTGTCCATTCCCCATTACCGGGCTTTTGAGTTGCTTTCAAATCTTTCCAGGGAATATCCTGGTTTGGACTGATTATGCTTTATGACATTTACAATGGCCTCCACTCAGTAGGCTTACAATATTTATTGATGAATAGTTGAAATAGTCTTATGGTTTGATATATATATTCGTATCGCTTTCTGAAAAGATTAAAAGTTACAGTGTCACTAGTAATGTGTTTATGTACCTCTCCATATTGAATATAGATTTTTCAGATAATTCTTTTAATATTGAAAAACTAGATTTTCTAATTCTTGATATGAAAAACATCAGTTATAGATTTAATTGCATTTTTGCTATAATTCTCACTAAATTATAAACCTAGGTTTAGGATCAGAATTTCTTATACTTACTGAGTAAAAAAAAATGTTTTATTAAACTTTCTAGCTGTTATATCCTTAATTTGGGGCAGGCTGGCTTTTACACTACCATTTCACTAAAGTATTTCTTACTGAAATAACCAGTCATCTGTTAAATGTCCAGTCAATCCAGTGGGAGCATTCAAGACTCTATCATTCCTCATTGAGAGATGAGGAGACTCTGTATTCATTGTTATTGATCATTTCCCCCTTAAACTTTTTCTTTTAATTTCAGTAACACTTCTCTCTTATTTCTCCCAGTTCTCTGATTATTCTCCGAGTGAAGTTTCTCCTTCAACCTTGTGGTTGATGACCTGCCACAGACCATCTTTGTTCCACCTCCGCTCTTCTTCACGTTCTTCCTAGTCAATATCCTAAGTGTTATTTTTTTATTTCTTGTGTTCTTTTGCGTTTCCAATACATTTCCTCTTCTGATCCCTTCTATTTCAGGCATATTTGGTAATTGCTATACTAGCTCTTCAGTCTTTAC